GTTATAGCTCAAGTGGTGGAGCACATGCTTAGCATGCATCCTGGGTTCTATCCCCAGTATCTCTTCTAAAAGTAAATAAATCTAATTATCTCCCCACTACCACCAAAAAATATAATTAATTAATACAATAATAACTGTATCAGTCTCTCACAGTCCCTTTGTGACTGTGAATGGTTGACAGCATGTGGCAAACTGAAGAAAAATAAAAGTTCTACTGGACCTCTCTTGTTAACCAATGTTAATTTTCTCTATTTTGGTCCTAGGTGCGTGCTTGTGTGGGTATGTATGGTTGTGTGTGTTTTATTGTATGTGTATATTAGATATTTTAAAATTTATTCTGCATAGATTTATTTAATCTGAACAATCTATAGATACTCTATATAATAGCTTCCCTATAGGTTAATACTTAAGATTCATGGATTACGTGGCTTACAAAATCCTACAGAGCTTTAAACTTTTGAGGTCTCCACATTTCCATGGCTTTTTTTTCTTTTTACTTTTCTTATTACCTTGAATAATAAACTTATAATAAGCTCAAAATTTATACTTTACTCTTTTTAACCAAGCACTTTGTAATTTGAACAGAGTAAATGAGTAATGAATTTTATTCACTATAAATCCATCTGCTAGATTCTGCAAAATATATATTGTGGTTTTACATTACTATAGTTTACCGTATTTACCTACTTGTTGCTATGTAATATGGCTTACATTGCCAGGATGAAAGCATTGGTTCTCAGAGAAATTAGTGCTAACCCAGTGTCAGGGCTATGATATAAGAATATGTCTCACATCTTAAGGTTTCCTATATAGGGTTAGACAATGTACATATTTTTTGAAGGCATCATTTTAAACCAGACATTGAAAACGTTATTCATTTTATGCATATCAACATGTAGTACATTATTTTAGAGCCACTTACTTTTTTTATTATTGAGTAAATCATCATGTTGCTGTTTTGAACCAGAAGAAAATTGGAGCATATTCCCCTTGGGGCATCTCCTGTGGGTTTTACCAACAGTTAAGTAACTGAATATAAGAATCTGAAGGAACCATATTCACAATGTACTGATGATTGCATTTTCTGTTCCACAGGTAAGAGAAATTTTCAGATCATCTGCAGAATATTTCAAGAGTTGGGATCTAAATTATCAAAATTTA